AACTATCCAGAAGCCTAAAAAGAAGGAGCTTTAAAGCCCTCTGTAACTTTTTCAACAGACGATCTGTTTCTGCTCTTATTTTGTAACGTTTCCTGTGGAGTCCTCGCCCCTGTCCAATTTTCTGAGGGTATTTGGAAGCCTGTCGGCTCCCGCACAGAAGGCAGGGAGCAGAGCCAGCGCGGTGTCACGGAGGGGTCACTGCTTCCTGGGCTTCCTGTTTATTTTGGGAAGGGGTCACCCGGCCAGCCGGCCGCTCTGCCTGCGCCCCGGGAAGCCCCCGGCCACCACATTCCTGCCCCCCTCGCCCGGGGCTGCAGACAATTGCTGACTGTGGCTCGAAATGCAGAGCACCAAGGCAGGGTGTAAATGGGATAACCCGACATGCCTATTTACTCAGCCTGGGGATAAGGGGCGGAAGCTTTTCCACATCAATTGCCCTTTCTTCTGGTATCTGGAAGTGTCTCTCTGAAGTTTTTCGTTCTCTTCGGAGGGTAGTAACCTCTGAATTTCTCAAGTGTTTCCATGATCTTTTCCTCGCTGCTTTTTTTTCTACTTCTACTTGAAAAAAGGGCATAAAGTCAACTGCGCTGTTAAAAACAGAATTGTCTCCCTTTTTAAAGAAAGCATGCAAATTTTTCTCCAAACTGCCTAGAGCAGAGCCCACCAATGGAGCAGAAGCTGTAGCACACAGGCTCTTGCTCACAGTGCGAGTCCCTGCTAACTCGCCCTGACCAGGCTGTCTAGAGCAAAGCGTTGGAGCAGAATAGCAGCATCTCCATATTTTGGGACATATCCATGAATGAATGGTAAACAATTGTCCTATTGCTGTTTCCTCTTCTAGGCAGGCTCTGCTTAGGTGCCTCGCAGCTCTTCAGAAGTTAACACCAAGCAGCAGCATTCAGTGCAGCTGTCTTCAAGGAGTTAATAAAAGGCCCCATGTATGGGAAACAGCAGACACTGAGTAGCTGCTCGAGTCCCTCTTGATCCTCTGGCATGTCCTGCCTCACACTGAGCGAGTGCACTGACCTCTCTCCGGCCTCAGTAGAGTATTTTTGTGCCAGTGGCTCTGTCAGCTCCTGCCATCAGTAGTCGGCTCCAGTCTGCAGGGCAGCCGTCAGCACACCACTGACAAGCAGCTCTTGGGGAAGCATGCTGTCATCCTGCAAGCCCAGAAGGGGACACAGCTTTACATTCAGAGTGATGCTCCTGTGGATAAAGTTGTAACTGGTTGTAAACATCTGCAGGATCAGTGGCTTACCATGAGCAAACCCTATTTATGTCAACACTCTGTGCCTGATGACACCTTCATTTGCACAGTATCTTTTTTCCCCCCTATGGCACTAGATTAAACATTGTTGGCCCAGAGTCACCTGCATCTGACTAAATCCAAAACTTCAAGGACTATTCCCAGACTCTCCTCTCTCAGTTCTGAGAGAGCAACCTCCATAATTCATTATGAATCAATGAAGGAGAGCTGGTAGCATCCTTCAGCATAATTGCCCTTCCTGTCTTGGCTCTGGCCATTTTGATGTTACCCTGCAGGACTTCTGCCACAACAGGAGGATGCAAATAAGAGCCATGGAGGAAGCAGTATCTGCTGGAGAAGGATGTGAGACAGCCCTCAATCAGAAGGGAAAGAAGAATGCCAAGGGCAGAGGTGATCAAGTGAGGAGCATTGGTTTGGACACAGAGGAAGGGCAGGCCCCATGGGGGATAGGTACGTGGGTGAAGTGCAGGCTGAGAGCACAGTTCTGGGACAGGGGTCTGCACGCAATCACTGCTGCCAGTGCAGAGGATAAGAGGGAAAGGATATAAAACCCTGCAGGGAGGAAGAGAAACACAGCAAGATCTCGGTGTGGTTCATTGACAAAAGCAAAAAAACACATTGTAAGAAGGGGGATGGCATTGATGTGGGGGTGGCGAACAGAGTTCATCTCAAAGAGCTGCCCCATTACAACCTTTCCTCTCCCCTCCTTCCCTCACCCATGACACTGGGCACACCGGAACAAGACAAAAGCCTTCCACACTGTGCTGGACCCTCATCCATGCCATCATGGTGCTCCTTGCTCAGGGGCTGCCCCAGACCTTCCCAGCCCTGCACCCCACCAGACATTGTCCAGCACTCGCTGCTCCTATCTATAGCCTTGGTGTGTTGCAGCAAGGGGCGTTTCGCAGAGATCCGGCACAAAGAGATGGCTTCTGTTTCAAAAAAGAGAAAAAAACCAAGAGACAAATGCATTATTTGTTCGATTCCTGTGCAGTTACTGTTGTAACAGTCAGCAGCTTTGAGGTATTTTTTTTGTGATTTGATACATAAACCACATTTCCTATGTAGCACTGCCACTATTTTTTTATCAGGTTTTTGACATTGAGCTTGGCAACATGATTTTGTTGGTTTTTTTTTCCTTTTCCACCAGAATGAATTCAAAGGCAGCAAATGCGGCAAAACCAGAATACTGCTCATCTTGACTTTTCCACGCAGCTAGTTTTCATTAAAAATAAAGGAAAATAAATACAGATCACATTTTCTGTCCTGCAGTTAAAAGCCTGCCACAGCTCAAAGCTTTGCTTTCTTCTTACCCTGCAGCCTGGCTCAGCTAGCACTCCAGCTCTGCTCATGATCTGAAATGCGCAAACACACTGTTTCTTGGCTTTCCACCAGTATATATAAATATATGTAATTTTTTCCTTCGGAGAACCTGGAGGCAAAAGCAAGAGGGCAAAGGAGTACGTGACTAAAACATCCAAACTTCCTCTTTCATAAGCCATCACATGATGAAGTGCAATTACAATTCCTGCCTTGTCCCTGCCAATTGCAGGCGCATTGCCTCACCCGAGAAACCCGGCTTCTTCCCCCGCCCCGTGCGTGTGTGTGTGTGTATGTGTGTGTGTGTGTGGAGGCAGCGATCGCTGCAGCCGGCTTGGCGAGGCTCCAGCTTCGGGCTGGAGAAAGAGGGCAGTGGGTGGAAGACGAAAACAAAGATCTGTTTACTTAGCTTGCATGGATAAATCGTCTTTCCAGCCGGGGAGGGGAGGAGGGAAGAGAAACAGCTTTAAAGGACTTTGATGCAATGTGAAAGGAGGGCTGCTAGGGAAAAGCGAGCCGATGTTAACCCTTGGCTCTCCGGCAGCCACGGCAGGGCTGCCCCTTCTCCTTGCTCCTGCCCTCCGGCCCCGGTCGAACGCCGCAGGAGCTGTGAGGGCTCCGGGGGTGGCTCCCGGGGTAGCAGCCCCGGCCGCCGCAACGACGTGCGGGGCCGCATTGGGGGCCGGGGCTGACTTTTATTTCGCCTGTGTACAACCCGGCGCCTCCAGGGCGCCCGGCCGGCCGTGCATTGCAGAGTCACCCAACCTGGCACGGGGGCCGGCGCTGCAGCCAGCGCCAGGACGAGCAGGAGCCGAGGCAGGGGGAGGCGAGGGCTCCCCACAGCCCCGGGGCGCACGGGCGGCCGCCACACGCAGTCCCGGGCCCGGCGGGCGGCGCAGGGCGAGAGGGAGCGGCTCTGCCCCGGTGTCCGCCCGACGGGGACATTCTGCCCCCGGTGCCCGCCCGACGCCCCTCGGCAGCCCGGCCGGGCAGGGGCAGCGCAGCGGCGGCGCTGGTGGCGGGCCCAGCCCCGCAGCGCCGTCGGGCGGCCCCCAGCCGCGGGGAGGCACCTGCCGGCGGCCGCCACGGACGTCAGAGCTTCCCCAGCCCCGGCCGGCTCCCGCCTCCCGCCCTCTTTCCCTCCCTCCTCCGTAACCTACATAACGCCGTGGGAAGGGCGGCTGGAGCGCGGCTGTCGGGGGGAGCAGCCTCCGCCGTGTTCACCCTGCACGGGCAAAGGCGTGCAAGCCGACCGTACGTGCAGGGATGTGCGCGGTGAGGGGCTGCTTCGCCTCCCGTGGCACACGAGGAGAGCGAACACCCTCTCTTGCTCCCTCCCTTGCCTCCATGCCGTGTTTCAGAGAGGGTGCAGGTGGCGGATAAGCGATTCGCAGCGTGGAAGGGGGTCGGGGAAACAGGTTTTTCTTTTTTGGGAACGAGACGGCGTGTGCTTAGTCTGTGTGAATTTCGCTAATCTGCATTAGAGAACTGCTGGTTTGTGGTTTAAAATGACAGGAAATCTAGAACGTCCTATTTCCTGTGCACAAATGACAACAGTTAAGAGAGAAAAAAAAAAAAAAAAGCTGGGTAATCGTTACATTTATTTCTGATGGTGCCTCCTGCTCCGGCGGGGAGAACAAAGCCGAGCACCGCTCGGCGGGGCGCCGGCCGCTGCCCGGAGGTGGCGATGACCGGCCCGGCGGGGGGAACCTCGGAGCCGCGGGGCGCGCCCGGGGCGCCGCGTCCAAGGTCACGGGGGAGGGGGTGCACTGAGTCCCGCACTGCGGGAGGCGCCCCGCGCACCGCTGCGCCCACGGTTGGGAAGTTTCGGCAAAGCCCCTCGGCGGTGAGGGAAATAGTAATACACCCAACAATAATAAAAATAAAATCAGAAAAGAAGGAGGGAGCTGCAGGGCACCCCCGCCCCTCGCCTTGTCCCTTTCCGCTCCCACAGCCCTCCCCGGGGGCGATGCGGGGCGGGGGCGCGGCGGCCCCCCGGCGGCAGGAGGAACCCCCGGTGCCGGTGGCGGGGGCGCGGGCAGGGGCCGGGGCTGGGATCGCGGCGGCGGGGCGGGGGCGCCCATCGCGCAGGCGCGGCCGGCACTGTCGAAGAATCGTAGCGGCGGCGCGCAGAGGCGGCGGTGGCGGCTGGAGCCCGGCACGGCACGGCGCCGCCGCCAGCCCCGGCCCCGGCCCCCGTGGCAGTCCCCGCCCCGCCCGCCCCGCCGCGCCGCGCCGGCCCCCGCCGCCCCGCGCCGCCCCGTAGTAGCCAGAGAGCGGGGGAGCCGTGCGGGCGGCAGCGGCCGCAGCCCTGCGCCAGCCGCGCGGCGGAGATGCGCGTCCCCGCCGCCCTGTGAGCGCCGCCGGCGGAGACGGCGACGGGAGCGGCGTTCCCCGCAGCGGCTCTGCCTGCCGGGGCGCCCGCCGCGCCCCGCTCCAGCGCACGGAAGAGGAAGGCGAGGGGGAGGGGGCCCGGCGGACGGTCCCGCTGCGGCCGCGGCTCCCGAGCCTGCCCGTCGGGACTCCGGTGACGAGGGGCGGAGGAGGCAGCGGCCGAAGCCGGAGCGGGGGGCGCTCGCCGCTGCCCCGGGGCCGGGACATGTCGTCGGCGGCGGTGGCGGCTGCTTCCCGCAGGCAGTCGTGCTACCTGTGCGATCTGCCCCGCATGCCCTGGGCCATGATCTGGGACTTCACCGAGCCCGTCTGCCGGGGCTGCGTCAACTACGAGGGCGCCGACCGCGTGGAGTTCGTCATCGACACGGCGCGGCAGCTGAAGCGGGCGCACGGCTGCTTCCCCGAGGGCCGGGCCCCGCCACCGCCCCACGCCAAGCAGCCTCCGCTCTCCGCCAAGGAGCTCCTGGCGCAGCAGCAGCAGCTCGGCCACCCCTCGGCGGCGGAGGCGGCGGCGCGGCCCCCGCCGCAGCCCCTGGAGCGCTACTCGCTGGCGGCCGAGCGGCCGCCGCCCCGCCTGGGCGCCGAGTACGGCGGCGGCCGGCAGGTCAACGGGATCCTGGTGCCCAACGGCTTCCCCAAGCCCGAGGAGCCGCCCGAGCTCAACCGGCAGAGCCCGAACCCGCGGCGGACGCACGCCGTGCCGCCCACCCTGGTGCCGCTGGTGAACGGCGCCGGGATCCCCGCCGCCATCGGCGGTCTGGGCAGCCGCGCCGCCGCCGCGGCCGCCGCCTCGCTGGCCGCCATCTCCGCCGCGCCCGCCCCCATGGCCGTGCCCGTGCCCCAGCAGCCGGCGGCGGCGGCGCAGGCGGCGGCGCAGGCGGCCGGGCAGCCCGGCGAGCTGGGGCACAAGCGCCCCGGCTCCGTCTCCTCCTCCTCCTCCTCGGGTGGCGGCGGCGGCGCGGCGGGGGAGCACGACAGCGGCGCCAAGGAGAAGCGCGGCTCCGCCGAGAGCCTGCCGGCGGCGGCGGCGGCAGAGCTGGCCGCGGAGGGCAAGAGTCGGCCGGGCTCCGAGCAGGAGTGGCTGGCCAAGCCCAAGACAGTGCGGGACACGCTGCTGGCCCTGCACCAGCACGGGAGCCACACCGTGGCCCCCTTCGACAGCAAATTCAAGAAGGAGCCGGGCATGGCGGGCGGCAGGCTGCTGGGCTACGAGACCAACGGCTCCGTGGCCAAGCCAGGTGAGGAGTCGGGACCGGGGGGCGGCGGGGAGGCCAGGGGACGGCGGGGCGGGAGGGGTGGCTCTCCAGGGATATGCGGAGCGGGGGATGCCGGGCGGGTTTGGGCGTGCGGGGCGGCGGCCCGGCCGCTTGGGTGGCCGGGTGCCCGCGGGGTGGCCGGGGCCAGCCGTTTCCGCGGTTGCTCGGCGATGCGTTGTGACTGCGCTGCCTTCTCACCCTCCTCCTTCCCCCCTCCTCTGCCTCTGCAGGGGCCCGGGCCGCCCGGAAGAGGAAGCCTTCCCCCGAGCCCGAGGGCGAGGCTGGACCCCCGAAGATCAACGGGGAGGTGCAGCCCTGGCTGCCCGCCCCGTCGGAAGGGATGAAGCTGCCGCTGACGGGCACCCCCTTCATGTCGCCCCCGCCGCCCACCGCCTCGCCCCACTCCAACCGGACCACGCCGCCCGAGGCGGCACAGAACGGCCAGTCCCCCATGGCCGCCCTCATTCTGGTGGCGGACAATGCCGGGGGCAACCACGCCTCCAAAGACGCCAACCAGGTCCACTCCACCACGCGGAGGAACAGCAGCAGCCCCCCCTCGCCCTCCGCCATGAACCAAAGAAGGCTGGGCTCCGGCAGGGAGGTGCCGGGCCAGGGGGCCAACGCGGCGGCGGCGGGCGGCCTGGAGCCCGTGCACCCCGCCAGCCTGCCGGACTCGTCCCTCGCCGCCAGCGTCCCGTTGTGTTGTACCCTGTGCCACGAGCGCCTGGAAGACACCCACTTCGTGCAGTGCCCCTCCGTCCCCTCGCACAAGTTCTGCTTCCCCTGCTCCCGGCAGAGCATCAAGCAGCAGGGAGCCAGCGGGGAGGTGTATTGCCCCAGCGGGGAGAAGTGTCCCCTGGTCGGCTCCAACGTCCCCTGGGCCTTCATGCAAGGGGAGATCGCCACCATCCTGGCCGGAGATGTGAAAGTGAAAAAGGAGAGGGACTCGTGACTCGCCTGCGCTCGCTGCCCGACGTCACCTTGAACTCGAACTGCTCGAATTCTGTATATATCTATAAATATATATATATAAATATATATATATATCTCCAAGACAAGGGAAATGTAGACTTCATAAACATGGCTGTATAATTTTGATTTTTTTGAATACATTGTGTTTCTATATTTTTTGAAGACAAAAGGTATGTACTTATTATAAAGGCATTTCTTCTAATTCTTCTCTTTTTTTTTTCTGTTTCGTTTTTTCTTTTTTTCCCTTTTGTTATAGCAACTATTTGTTGTGCTTCCCTGGTGACAGTTACTGTTCAATGTAGGCTGTGACTTGCGCTGCTTTTTTTAGAGAGCACTTGGCAAACCAGAAATGCTTCTAGCTGTATTTGTATGCACTTGTTTCTTCTGTTTTTTCTTTTCTTTTCTTTTTTTTTTTTTTTTTTAATGCCAAATACACTTTCTGACATTGTAAAGATTGCCTTACTGTCTGTGATTCCTTATTCCTGGCCCCTGTCCTGTAGAGCTGGTCGCATGCAGGCTTGGTCTGAGGCAACTGGGGACAAGAGTGGCTGGCCAAGGCAGGCGTGCCCTTTGCATCCCTCCGGCCGGGCGAGCTTAGGGAGCAGGAGGGCTTTCTCCCAGGAGCGCGTGGCTCGGGTTGCGATGGAAGATCCTCCAGATCCAGTCCCGAATTGCTCACTGTTTCTCAAGGGAAGTTGCCACCAGAGTAGGATTTGGAGAGGTGTCCAAGAGGCGCTGTTGAGTTAGGGATTTCTGGGTTTGTTTGTTTTTGGTTTGGTGTTTTGTTTTGTTTTGTTTTGTTTTTTTAAGGCAAAGTTGACCGCAGTTCTCGTGATCGGTTCTAAGATTACAAAACTGCATTTATTCACCAGTTGCATACCATAATATGGAATTTTGATAACGAACTTAGTTACACGATTGGCAAAGGTGCCAGTGTAGCACTGCCATTTCTGAAGGTCTTCAGTGTCACTTGTGGGGCTTTTGTGTCTTTGGACAAAGCTGGGGATGTGGGGAAGAGACTTTATTTTATTTTACTTTAATTTTCAGATAGTGCATATGGATTTTGATTTTGCTTACCAGTCACCTCTGGTGCTGTTGCTATTGTTACTATCGCTGACCCGGTATTTCCAAGTAGTGGCAGGTACGGTGTGGTACAGTGACAGCAGTGACTGAGGCTCTGCCAAATTGCCCGCGGGCATATCAGTGACAGCCCAAATGTGGGTGGAGGAAACCTGTAATTTCCTTATTACGTATGCTTGAAACAAACCTACTGCTATTCTTTGAAAATGAAAATATAAACTGGTTGAAATGAAAGCAATTAGGGCTGCACATAATGGCCCTGGCCCTGCCTTTTAAGCTACTTTGGAGAACTCTTTTGTAAAGCCACTTCTTTTGATCACGCTTCTGCATCACCAAGCAGACTTCTAAAATCAATAAATCATTGGTTACTAGAAATAGTTCAAGTCTAATAGTGATGTTTTTGTGCTGTTTATAGTTCATTGGCAACGCTGCAGCTGTACAAGCCCTTCTGTCGAGGTGTTTATAACTCGGTTATGTGCGGTTGTTTCTGAGCTAAAGGGTGGCGAGGTCGTCCCTTCCCAGGGACCAGCTAATAAACACTTCCAGTATCAGAAGAGAAGGAGGAAAAATCTGTTCAGCCAACTATAAAATTGAAGATTTTTGGGTGCTTTTTACTCAACTGTTCTTATTGTGATAATGTTCAAACTGCAATTTAATGCAGAGAATTTTTTTTTTTGGGAGAAGACTACTTTTTTTAAAAAGAAAAGAAATGGTCATTATTAGTATTTGCAGATCAGAACTGCACATGCACAGTAATTTTCTATGAAGTGTTTAATGAGCACACCCACTACATTGTGTTCCATATTACAGGTCAATGTAATATTAGATAAGACTTGCATGATAAACAAATTCATTGAGTCAATATTACGCTTTAAAACTTATAGTCAAGATTGGTGTCTTATGTAAACACATTTAGCCAATTTGAAGAAAACGCACATTATATATATATATACCTATATATATACCTATATATAAAAAAATGCCAACTGTAAAGGATTCTTTGGAACCACTATGATCTGTGTAAATGTGTATTTAGGCACTTTATTAAAAAAATGAAATTTGAGCTGATAGATGGTAACAAGTTCTTCAAAGTTGCTTGGCACAATACCTTACATGGGATGAAGTTCATGTTTTTGATTAAGGCGGTTTCCCTACACTTAAACAGGAAGCCAAACTGAATTCCAAAGCCTGCCTAAAAGACCCCCCCCTTTTGTGTCATCAGGTGTCCCAGCTGTGAGCGTGCCGAGGGTGAGACCTGCTCCTGACAAAGTACGCCCTTGTCTGGGGCCGAGGGACACTGGTGTGAGAGGCCTGTAGGGAAGCACACCTTCCTCCTCCTCCTCCTCCTCCTCCTGCCAGCCGCCCTCTCCTGCAGCTCTGGGACTCCTGGAGAGGATGGAAACTCCCCAGCCGGTGATGCCAGGCAGTGGCCCAGAAACAACATAGATGGAAAAGAAATGGCACACGGTGGCTATGCTCACTCAGCTGACTTTGAGCCCCCAGCCAAGTCTGATCTCCACCATAAAACTTTAGAACTGCTAAAGAAAAACAAACAAAATGAAACAAAAAAAAAATAAAACCAAAAGAATTAAAAAAAAAAATTGAGGGTGTTCATACATAGCTCATTTTTCTCACATTGAATGTTGCTTTTTCCTTTTGGTTGCTTTGCTCAATTACAATAATACTCCAGTGGATTCTTCCTTTGTTACTACTTCCTGGGCTACAAGCTTTTTTCTTTTTTTTTTTTTCCCTATTATTTTGAAGTGCTTTAGCTGCAACAGTGCTACTGTTAATATTCCTTTTTAAACTTTTTAAAAGGTGATACTGTAACTTGTGTAGTATTAAAAGTGTTTTAATGAAGAATGTGTGATTACTATTTTTTTCCGACACACTTCCATTACTTTTTTTTTCGAAGATACTTTTTCCTGGCAGATTTTTTTCAACTGCACAGTGCTTTTGTTGATAGCTGCGGAAAACTAACCTGCTGCCAGTTTGGCATTTTATGGGTTCTCTTTTTTTTTTTTCTTTTTTTTTTTTTTCTGACACTAAGCGTAAGGAAACCAGGAATTTTAAATACTTACTGCATTTTTTGTATATATAAAAAAAGGAAAAAAGAAAACTTGAAAAAGCTATAGTTGTACAATATTATTTTAATTTTTTTTAAATACTGTCCTGACGTTTATTTGTAAACAGACAGCAGTATGGGACAAGAAGGGATGCATGGAGCTGGTGGGTGCTGCCCTGTGCCTGGGTTCCAGGGGTGGGAAAGGTGCCACACAAGGGAGGCTTTGACCGCCTTTGCAGTGGCCTCAGGAAACCTGGTACGTTTGGGAGCTCTCTTTTTAGACGTGCTGTAAACCAGGCCATGGCAACCGCGTGTTTTTATGAACTAGCACTTAGGCAAAGGGTATAAATACATTTGAGAGTGCTCTCTAGTGGCTTGTTATGTCAACAGAGCCCCTGGATCCTTTCCTTCTGCACCCGGGCCAAGCCCTGCTTGCCTGTCTGTCCAGCTGGCAGGGTGGTGGCTCTCGGTGGCACAGGATGGGACACTGCTCTGGGGACACCCAGCCATCCACCCACCTGCAGTGGGACACCTGCCCTGCTGGTTGCCCCCACTCCATGTGTCCAGCTGCCCCCAAAGCTGTGTGGGACAGCCCATGTGCAGCTGCAGCACCCACACCAACACAGCCTCTCCTCAGGAGGGAGGAGAAAACAATCACTGGACCCTGTGGAAATGAATGGCACCAGGGGTGGCTGAGCTGCTTGGAGCCCTGACTGCCCTGCTTCACTCCAACAGAGCTATGTCCAGTCGTTAGGCTAGAAAAGGCTCAGCCCTCAGCGTTTCATGTTTCTCCTCCTTGAGCATTTGCATTTAGTAGCTGCAGCTGTATCTTTTGAAAAATTGAAAAAAATCACCCAAACTCAACCACCACCTTTCCTCAAGCGGGCTTTTGTCTCTATAGACACCATAGGTCCAGCTCAGTATGAACTGCCTCCAGTGTATGCTCCCATAGTGAAGGAAAGGAAAGGAAAGGAAAGGAAAGGAAAGGAAAGGAAAGGAAAGGAAAGGAAAGGAAAGGGGAAAGGAAAGGGGAAAGGAAAGGGAAAGGAAAGGAAAGGAAAGGAAAGGAGGAAAGGAAGAAAAGAAAGAAAGAAAAGAAAGAAAGAAAAGAAAGGAAAGAAAGGAAAAGAAAAGAAGAAAGAAAAGAAAGAAAGAAAAGAAAGGAAAAGAAAAGAAAAAAAAGAAAGAAAGAAAGAAAGAAAGAAAGAGAAAGAAAGAAAGAAAGAAAGAAAGAAAGAAAGAAAGAAAGAAAAAGAAAGAAAGAAAGAAAGAAAAAGAAAGAAAGAAAGAGAGAGAAAGAAAGATTGATTTTTTCCCCTGTTAAAAGAGAAGATGTGCTTGGGCAGTGCATGGCTGCCCCTCCTGCAGTCGAAGCACTGCAGCCAGTGACCTTTGCCATTTGCCGGCATGGCCATGGAACAGCCCAGCTGCCCTGCCCTGATCCCATGCAGGCCAGCAGTATTCCTGAGCCGTCCTCCTTCCCCTGCCCTTTGTTCCCAGGAGCAGATGCCTTTCCTCTGCCAGGGCCAAGGTCAGGCAGTGCTAGAAGCAGATGAATGAAGTGCCTGCTTATTCACTTCATCACCCAGAGCTGCAGCTCTGCTCCAGAGGTAACTCTTTCAGTGCCTCCGGACAGCCTCTGCAGCATGCCACGGCTTTGAGCACCAACTGTGGGGTTCAACTTCTATGGAACGGTTCCAGATTCTCATGGAACTCCCTGAGAGGCTGAACTCTCCCTCCTGGGAAAGCAGGCACACTGACATCTCCCACAGAAAGCTCCCAGGTGCATGTTAGTGCCCATATGGCTGTCTTGCTGGCTGGCACAGGTACACTGAAGATGGGGTGACAGCTCTGCAGGTATTTTTAGACATCACCTAGCTTTGCTTTTCTTTCTGCCACTCCAGAGGTGGTTTTGTAGAGACTGGAATAGAAGAGCGCATGCTAAGCCCCAAAATGTTGCATCAAGTTGAAAACCCCTATAAAACAAACTTACAGAGAAACCAGAAGCGCTCATAGAAGCTTCTCATAGGTGTTTCTTCATCTCATCACCTCTCTGACTCAGCAAACACCACAGAAACACCCTTCCCCATTAGCTCCCATCTGCAGCAACACTGGGCCAAGTGTGAGAACCTGCCCTGCCTGGCACAGCACCCAGCCATTCCCCATCTCGGGGTCCTCCTGGCTGCCCCCCAACCTGCTGCCTCCTGCCCTGGTGGTCCCTCATTCCATCCTCGGGTGCCATGTCCAGGGCTGGGGATGTCCTTCTGGATGGGGGGCTGGGCTGTGGCTTCCCTGAGAAATAAATCCTGGGGAGCCTCCAGTGTGGAGGCACCTTGGAGATGTTCAAGGCCAGGTTATTTGGGGCTCTGAGCAACCAGATCTATTGGAAAGTGTCCCTGCCCATGGCAGGGAGTTGAAATGAGATGGCCTTCAACGTCCTCTTTCAACCCAAACCATTCTCTGAGTCTATGGTTTTCAGCTGCTGCCTCTGGGAAGGAGGACATTCACTCTTAACTGCCAACATGCCAGGTCTGCATTGTCTTTTGCCCTCTTTCACTATAAAACACTTATTTCCCCCACCCACTGCCATCCCAGAGAAGCCTCATGCTGTTTCCTTCTTTTCTTTTTAGCAACCCTTTAAAACAACCAGGAGATAAGTATCCAGAGATTGAAAGGGGGGTTGGTTCACCAGGTTTCTTCCTTGCAGGGACAGCAATTGCACCAGTTCCCACATGGCTGGGTGGGAATGGGGCTGCTGGGGGAAGTGTGCAGGTGGGGGCTTTGGGGAGCCCCAGCTGCAATGGGGGCCTCACCTGCCACCCCCTCAGCCAGGGGCACGAGAGAGCAACTGGACCTTCCCCTTCTTTCTCATCCGGTTTTGGGATTTTTTTCCTTCTTTTCGCATCTTGGTGAGCTGAAGGAGGTCTGATTTATTTTTTTGAGGGGGAGGGAGCACAGTTTGAGTAGACACCCTTAATTAATATTTTTTTCAATTATTGTTTTCTCCAATAATTTTCTAATCCTTTTTTATAGGTGTGTCATATTCTCCAACTGTATGTAGAAAGGGGCTTACAGATATTAGACAAAAACTGCATAACAGAATGAGGCATTTAATTTTGTTTGTCTGGAACTACTTATAAGTTTTGGGTTTTTTCTGTCTACCTTATTCAGGTGCTGCTAAACACTAAGAGCAATTAATTTTCTCTTTTTAGATGTCTCACCCCTCAGCTGATGGTTAGAAAAATCTAAAATCAGGGTACTGATGAAAGACTTCAATGTAAGCAGAGGAAGGTGATGCTGAACATAATGTTT